CACACACACTCTCACACACTCTCACACACACACACATACATACATTCAACTTATTTTATTTCACATTTCTTATGTTTTTGTTTAGTTTAACTTCAAGTACTAAAATAGCTAAAACAGAAATACAATTAATAAAAAACTATGAAGAAATATTTAAAAAGAAACAAAAACTAATAAAAATGACAAAACACAACAAAATTCTTTAAACTTTAATAAAAATTAACATGAAAATAAAATATAAAAATAAAAACTACTGTATATAGAAACATTTTCAAAGAAACAAAAAATGAATAAAAAAAACAAAAACAAAATTACTAAAACTTTGAATAAAATTAAAATGAAAAAGAAAAATATAAAAATAAAAACTATATAGAAATATTTTCAAAGAAACAAAAACTAATGACCAAAACACACAAGAAAATTACTACTTTTAACTAAAATTAAAATGAAAAGAGAAAATATAAAAAAGAAATGAAAACTAATAAAAATGACAAAAACGCAAAACAAAATTACTAAAACGTATAAAATGAAAAAAATATAAAAATGTTATAGAAATTTTTAAATAGAAACAAAAACTAATTGAAATAAGAAAACATGACATAATTACTAAAACTTTTAAAATTAAAACAGAAAATAAAAAAAACTATATAAAATAATTTTTAAAAGAAACAAAAGCTAATAAATATGACAAACACAACAACATTTCCAAAATTCTAATGAAAATATAAAAATAAAAACAAATTCAAAATATTAATAAAATCCTCTGAATGATACTAAAATAGCACTTTTCCCCATTATTGACAAAGTACATGTTTTTGGTGTATAGTAGACATTTGTGGATTGGCAATGCCGATGATTTGAGCTTTAGGAAGCTGACCGGAATTGATGTGTCGTCTCATTCTCTGTTTAACAGGTCAAACTGTCCGACTTTGGATTCTGCGCTCAGATCAGCAAAGACATCCCGAAGAGAAAGTCGTTAGTCGGGACTCCGTATTGGATGGCGCCGGAGGTGGTTTCAAAGACGCCCTACGGCACGGAGGTAACGAACATCATCAACCTTACCTTTAATTCCATCAGATCACATGTGATATGAAGTAAACAATCTTAATGGGTGAGATTATTATCATAAAGATGCTGGTTGAGCCACATGTCACAATGCCACAGCAGATATTTAAAGCATATAATGCTGTGATTAAGACCTTTTAATGAGAGGATTAGAGGCAATGCATAATATTTGCATAGAGATAAAGGTGGATTCGCTTTACCGGATGTTGAATCTATTAAATAGCGTTAGAAATCTCTACTATAACATAACATGACCGGTCTGACATTGCTTCATTCACCGAAGGTTTGGAAAGCCTGATTAATTTGGCAAAGAGACCTTAATAGTGACATTGATAAGGACAAGTGGAATAGAGTTTCTATGGTGTTACACAGGTAAACTGGGTAGTTTGAGCAATAATTATGCTGGAAGTGAAAGAAAGAAACATTAAACATGCTCACGGGAAGTGTACATAAAAATACTGCCTTTTTTTAAAATTGTGTTGTAATATCTTGAGAGATTGTTGGGAAATCGACTTTAGCGGATAAAACTGAGATTGATCATTTTAAAACAATGAGTTTTCCCTTCCTACTAAACAATACATGTCTTTGCTAATGTTCACATGTAGTTATGAATTTCTGAGTTGTCAAAATATCCCGTTTTTAAAATGTTTTTTTTTTTTTTTTGTGGTTATGCAAAACTTGAGGGAACGTTCCGTTTTAGAATTCTTGCAAACATTTTCGATTGTGAACGTTACTTTTGAATGTTCTCTGAACGTTCTGAAACAGTAACATTTAAAAAAACAAAACAAAAAAAAAGTTACATAAATGTTTTTTAAGGGAAAAAAACATTCAATGAATGATGTGTAAATAGTAATGAAAGCTTTATTTCTAGATATTAAAAACATCCTTTATGTAAAAAAAAAAATATATATATATTTTTTTGGTTATACAAACATTTAGGGAACATTCAATTTTATGTTACTCTTGAATGTTTCCTAAACAATTTTAAAATGAGTAGAAACATAAAAAAAATGTTAGATGAACATCCAACTAAAATGTTTCCGAAAAAAATTAAAAAATATATTTTTATTTTTTTAAACATTTAATTTTTGTTAAGCACATTTTTAGGGAACATTCCATTTTATTATTTTCAAACATTACGGGACTGCTACTTTTGAATGTTCTTGGTATGTTCTGAAACGTGCAGTAAAATTTAAAAACGCATTAGAGGAATGTTCAAATAAAACGTTTCAGAAAAAAAAACACTCCATGAACAATGTGTGAATAATGTTTTTGTGCTAACTTTTTAAAACTCTGAACGAACGTTCTATTAATGTTTGTTCATTATTTTTTAGAGAAGGATCTCTGTTAGCTGGATTGTTACTGCAGGTAATTTAGTCAGAGCAGATACTGGACAGACAGCTAAAACATGGACTGATTATAAATGCTGGCAAAACTGCATTGAAATCAGACTCGTACAGACATTCACTTCATAGGAAGACCATTGCTTCTATTGTCTTCCAACTTTGCATCTTGTTGTGCATTATATGCTGGTATTTGTGGTTTTGTGTCTGTTGTGTTCAGCTTTTGTTTGTACCAGGTGTTATGCATAAAATAAACTGATACATTTAATGTTCAAAAAGAAAAAGAATGATTGGAAAAGTCATGGAAATGCATTGGTCCAAAGCCTTGGGAAACCTGTATTTATTTATATATGCATATTTTAGTTTGTAATAGTTTTACGTTTGTATCCTCATATTTTTCACTGACTCACAGTACAATACAAGTGTCTGTGTGACTGGCAAACAGCTGCTCAGAGAACTTCTCAGACGCTTCTACATGAACTTTATCTATAGTTCTTTGTGATTCTTGAGAAGGTTGCGTTTGTTCCTCGGAATGAGGAATCAGAATTAGTGAGGCAGAGATGCTGCTTTCTGCTGAAGTGAAAGATCCTGATGTTTTGTGTGTTTGTAGGTGGACATGTGGTCTCTGGGGATCATGGTGGTGGAGATGATCGATGGAGAACCTCCGTATTTCAGCGAGACGCCGATAGCAGCGATGAAGAGACTGCGAGACGAGCCGGCGCCAACCGCCAGAAACATCAGCAGGGTAAAACCAGCATAACCTCAACAGTTCATTCAGTCAACTAAAACTGAAGCTAAAACTATATTCATGTCATAATCAATTCAGTTTAGTTTAACTTGATGTAATAAAATAACTAAAACTGAAATTAAAAATGATTATAATTAACAGAAAAATAATAACTTTAAAAATATTAATGCAAACTACAATAAGCATCCCAATGACACAGAATGTGAAATTATAACATGCATATGTTCATGCAGTGCTGTTATTTATGGAAGCCCGTTTCCGCCACTGAATAAAAAATAAAAAAAGTAATTGTGTGACCTTTTTTATCTCACCATTCTGACTTTTTTCTCACAATTGTGAGATATAAAAGTCACAATTGTGAGATATAAAAGTCTTAATTGCGAGATATAAAAGTCTTAATTGCGAGATATAAAAGTCTTAATTGCGAGATATAAAAGTCTTAATTGCGAGATATAAAAGTCTTAATTGCGAGATATAAAAGTCTTAATTGCGAGATATAAAAGTCTTAATTGCGAGATATAAAAGTCTTAATTGCGAGATATAAAAGTCTTAATTGCGAGATATAAAAGTCTTAATTGCGAGATATAAAAGTCTTAATTGCGAGATATAAAAGTCTTAATTGCGAGATATAAAAGTCTTAATTGCGAGATATAAAAGTCTTAATTGCGAGATATAAAAGTCTTAATTGCGAGATATAAAAGTCTTAATTGCGAGATATAAAAGTCTTAATTGCGAGATATAAAAGTCTTAATTGCGAGATATAAAAGTCTTAATTGCGAGATATAAAAGTCTTAATTGCGAGATATAAAAGTCTTAATTGCGAGATATAAAAGTCTTAATTGCGAGATATAAAAGTCTTAATTGCGAGATATAAAAGTCTTAATTGCGAGATATAAAAGTCTTAATTGCGAGATATAAAAGTCTTAATTGCGAGATATAAAAGTCTTAATTGCGAGATATAAAAGTCTTAATTGCGAGATATAAAAGTCTTAATTGCGAGATATAAAAGTCTTAATTGCGAGATATAAAAGTCTTAATTGCGAGATATAAAAGTCTTAATTGCGAGATATAAAAGTCTTAATTGCGAGATATAAAAGTCTTAATTGCGAGATATAAAAGTCTTAATTGCGAGATATAAAAGTCTTAATTGCGAGATATAAAAGTCTTAATTGCGAGATATAAAAGTCTTAATTGCGAGATATAAAAGTCTTAATTGCGAGATATAAAAGTCTTAATTGCGAGATATAAAAGTCTTAATTGCGAGATATAAAAGTCTTAATTGCGAGATATAAAAGTCTTAATTGCGAGATATAAAAGTCTTAATTGCGAGATATAAAAGTCTTAATTGCGAGATATAAAAGTCTTAATTGCGAGATATAAAAGTCTTAATTGCGAGATATAAAAGTCTTAATTGCGAGATATAAAAGTCTTAATTGCGAGATATAAAAGTCTTAATTGCGAGATATAAAAGTCTTAATTGCGAGATATAAAAGTCTTAATTGCGAGATATAAAAGTCTTAATTGCGAGATATAAAAGTCTTAATTGCGAGATATAAAAGTCTTAATTGCGAGATATAAAAGTCTTAATTGCGAGATATAAAAGTCTTAATTGCGAGATATAAAAGTCTTAATTGCGAGATATAAAAGTCTTAATTGCGAGATATAAAAGTCTTAATTGCGAGATATAAAAGTCTTAATTGCGAGATATAAAAGTCTTAATTGCGAGATATAAAAGTCTTAATTGCGAGATATAAAAGTCTTAATTGCGAGATATAAAAGTCTTAATTGCGAGATATAAAAGTCTTAATTGCGAGATATAAAAGTCTTAATTGCGAGATATAAAAGTCTTAATTGCGAGATATAAAAGTCTTAATTGCGAGATATAAAAGTCTTAATTGCGAGATATAAAAGTCTTAATTGCGAGATATAAAAGTCTTAATTGCGAGATATAAAAGTCTTAATTGCGAGATATAAAAGTCTTAATTGCGAGATATAAAAGTCTTAATTGCGAGATATAAAAGTCTTAATTGCGAGATATAAAAGTCTTAATTGCGAGATATAAAAGTCTTAATTGCGAGATATAAAAGTCTTAATTGCGAGATATAAAAGTCTTAATTGCGAGATATAAAAGTCTTAATTGCGAGATATAAAAGTCTTAATTGCGAGATATAAAAGTCTTAATTGCGAGATATAAAAGTCTTAATTGCGAGATATAAAAGTCTTAATTGCGAGATATAAAAGTCTTAATTGCGAGATATAAAAGTCTTAATTGCGAGATATAAAAGTCTTAATTGCGAGATATAAAAGTCTTAATTGCGAGATATAAAAGTCTTAATTGCGAGATATAAAAGTCTTAATTGCGAGATATAAAAGTCTTAATTGCGAGATATAAAAGTCTTAATTGCGAGATATAAAAGTCTTAATTGCGAGATATAAAAGTCTTAATTGCGAGATATAAAAGTCTTAATTGCGAGATATAAAAGTCTTAATTGCGAGATATAAAAGTCTTAATTGCGAGATATAAAAGTCTTAATTGCGAGATATAAAAGTCTTAATTGCGAGATATAAAAGTCTTAATTGCGAGATATAAAAGTCTTAATTGCGAGATATAAAAGTCTTAATTGCGAGATATAAAAGTCTTAATTGCGAGATATAAAAGTCTTAATTGCGAGATATAAAAGTCTTAATTGCGAGATATAAAAGTCTTAATTGCGAGATATAAAAGTCTTAATTGCGAGATATAAAAGTCTTAATTGCGAGATATAAAAGTCTTAATTGCGAGATATAAAAGTCTTAATTGCGAGATATAAAAGTCTTAATTGCGAGATATAAAAGTCTTAATTGCGAGATATAAAAGTCTTAATTGCGAGATATAAAAGTCTTAATTGCGAGATATAAAAGTCTTAATTGCGAGATATAAAAGTCTTAATTGCGAGATATAAAAGTCTTAATTGCGAGATATAAAAGTCTTAATTGCGAGATATAAAAGTCTTAATTGCGAGATATAAAAGTCTTAATTGCGAGATATAAAAGTCTTAATTGCGAGATATAAAAGTCTTAATTGCGAGATATAAAAGTCTTAATTGCGAGATATAAAAGTCTTAATTGCGAGATATAAAAGTCTTAATTGCGAGATATAAAAGTCTTAATTGCGAGATATAAAAGTCTTAATTGCGAGATATAAAAGTCTTAATTGCGAGATATAAAAGTCTTAATTGCGAGATATAAAAGTCTTAATTGCGAGATATAAAAGTCTTAATTGCGAGATATAAAAGTCTTAATTGCGAGATATAAAAGTCTTAATTGCGAGATATAAAAGTCTTAATTGCGAGATATAAAAGTCTTAATTGCGAGATATAAAAGTCTTAATTGCGAGATATAAAAGTCTTAATTGCGAGATATAAAAGTCTTAATTGCGAGATATAAAAGTCTTAATTGCGAGATATAAAAGTCTTAATTGCGAGATATAAAAGTCTTAATTGCGAGATATAAAAGTCTTAATTGCGAGATATAAAAGTCTTAATTGCGAGATATAAAAGTCTTAATTGCGAGATATAAAAGTCTTAATTGCGAGATATAAAAGTCTTAATTGCGAGATATAAAAGTCTTAATTGCGAGATATAAAAGTCTTAATTGCGAGATATAAAAGTCTTAATTGCGAGATATAAAAGTCTTAATTGCGAGATATAAAAGTCTTAATTGCGAGATATAAAAGTCTTAATTGCGAGATATAAAAGTCTTAATTGCGAGATATAAAAGTCATAATTGCGAGATATAAAAGTCATAATTGCGAGATGTAAATGTCATAATTGCGAGATATAAATGTCATAATTGCGAGATATAAATGTCATAATTGCGAGTTATAAAAGTCATAATTGCGAGATATAAAAGTCAGAATTGCGAGATATAAAAGTCTTAATTGCGAGATATAAACTCGCAATTGCGAGAAATAAAGTCAGAATTGTGAGATATAAAAGTCACAATTGTGAGATATAAAAGTCACAATTGCGAGATATAAAAGTCATAATTGTGAGATATAAAAGTCATAATTGCGAGATATAAATGTCATAATTGCGAGATATAAATGTCATAATTGCGAGTTATAAAAGTCATAATTGCGAGATATAAAAGTCAGAATTGCGAGATATAAAAGTCTTAATTGCGAGATATAAACTCGCAATTGCGAGAAATAAAGTCAGAATTGTGAGATATAAACTCGCAATTTGGAAAAAAAAAGTGACATAATTGCGAGATATAAATGTCATAATGACGAGTTATAAAAGTCATAATTGCGAGATATAAAAGTCAGAATTGCGAGATATAAAAGTCTTAATTGCGAGATATAAACTCGCAATTGCGAGAAATAAAGTCAGAATTGTGCGATATAAACTCGCAATTGCGAAAAATAAAGTCAGAATTGTGCGATATACACTCGCAATTGCGAGAAATAAAGTCAGAATTGTGAGATATACACTCGCAATTGCGAGAAATAAAGTCAGAATTGTGCGATATAAACTCGTAATTGCGAGAAATAAAGTCAGAATTGTGCGATATAAACTCGCAATTGCGAGAAATAAAGTCAGAATTGTGCGATATAAACTCGCAATTGCGAGAAAAAAAGTCAGAATTGCGAGATATAAAAGTCTTAATTGCGAGATATAAACTCGCAATTGCGAGAAAAAAAGTTAGAATTGCATGATACAAACTCGAAATTGCGAGTTATAAAGTCAGAATTGACTCGCAATTCTGGCAATTCTGACGCAACTGCGAGTTTGTATCTCGCAATTCTGAGGAAAAAAAGTCAGAATTGCGAGTTATACGAGTTATAACTGAGGAGAAAAAAAAGTTCCGATATGTTCTCAGAATTGCGAGTTTTATCTCACAATTCTGAGAAAAAATCTGTTTTTAAAAAATTTTAAACGATCAGTGGCGGAAATGGGCTTCCATAGATATTGTACAGTAAAACTATAAAAATCATTAATTGAAATAAAGCTGAAATGAAATATTAATATTAGATGAAACGCTTAAACTTCAAAAATGTAAACGTTAAAAAAATTATAAATGTTTAAAAGTACTAGTTAGTAAAACTGAAAAATAAATAGAAAAAATAAAGCTTAATAAAAATCTACCCCTCATTAATTAAAAATCCGAAATGAAATAAAATATAAATATTAGATGAAACACTTAAATTAAATTTTTTTTAATAAAAATGATACATTTTTAAAAGTAGTAAAATTAATAAAACTAAAACTGAAAAATTAATAAAACTTAAATAGAAATATTAAAAAACAAAAATGAATAAAAAATGACAAAAACATAAAATTACTGAAATTAAAATTCTAAAAATGAAAGATAATATAAATTTAACAAAAAATTAAAGCTAATTCAAAATATTAACAAATACTATAAATATATAAATACAAAAACAACACATATTACACTTTAATTAAACTACTAAAAATAATTTATTAATTAAAAAAGCCTAAATTAAATAAAATAGAAATAATAGATGAAACACTTAAACTTAAAAAATGCAAACTGAAAATTATGAATGTTTAAAAGTACCACAATTACTAAAACTAAAAGCTGAAAAATTATTAAAAAGCTAAATAGAAATGTATTAAACAATTTAATAAAAATGACAAAGGCACAACAAAATTACTAAAGTTCAAATTGTAAGAGATAAAAGCTAATATAAATGTAATATAAAAAATAAATTAAAGCTTAATAGAAATATTAAAAAATAAATAAAAAGGACAAAGAACATAACAAATTACTAAACTTAAAATTGTAAAATATAAAGGTTAATATAAATTTAATAAAATATAAAAATGAAAGCTATAATTAATACTAAAACAATACTGACTTCATGCATAAATAAAATAAAATCACTTAATTAAAAAGAGACTTAAAATGAAGAAAATGAATCCTACTTTCAGGACCATGAAGTTATGTTTGGTCATTATGATGTTTGATATTATGTATAATGATCTCTGTGGTGTGATCAGATCTCTCCCGTCCTGAGGGACTTTCTGGACTCGATGTTGACGTGTGATCCGCTGGAGCGAGCGAGCGCCGGAGATCTGCTCCAGCATCCCTTCATGCTGCAGGCCGCTTCTCCTCGCTGTCTGGTGCCGCTGGTGGAGCAGTACCGCAAACGCATGTCGCGATGCTGACCTTTAGCACTTTAGAGACTGTGAACCTTCCTGATCTACTGGAAAAACCCTGACGTTCCTCTGGAGAACCTCATAGAGGAGGACAGGAGCGATTCCCCCCAAAACCATCATTCTGTCAGCATTTATTCCTCTTATTCTAATGCATTTGCACAGAACCTTTGACATTATGTGTCGTGTGTAATAGAGACTGTGCTGATGGGTTTATTAAATACATCTGATGATCGTTCACAATGTATGGAAGCCTGTTTCTGCTCCAGGACAAGGAATTAAAAGGTAATTGTGACCTTATTTCTTGCAATTCTGAGGGGGAAAAAACGTTAACTTACAATTGCGAGACAAAAAAATTTTTAATTCTAAGAAAAGTAAAAATTGTGAGATATTAACTCAGAATTGTGAGAAAAAAAAAATAATTGTGAGATATAAACTCAGAAGTGGTGGTGAAAAGGTCAGAATCAGAAATGTGAGATACAAACAGAATTGCAAGATAAAAAGTCAGAATTGTGAGATGTAAACTCAGAATTGCAAGAAAAATGTAGAATTGCGAGATATAAAGTAAGAATTGTGAGGAAATAAAAACTGAATTGTGAAAGTCTAAGTTGTGAAAAAAATAGAATTGTAAGATATAAACTCAGAATTGCGAGAAAAAATAGAATTGTGAGATATAAACTCAGAATTGCAAAAAATTGGAATTGTGAGAAAAAATAGAATTGCGAGATATAAAGTCAGAATTGTGAGGAAATAAAAACTGAATTGTGAAAGTCTGAATTGTGAAAAAATAGAATTGTGAGATATAAAGTCAGAATTGCAAGAAAAAATATATAATTGTGAGATATAAAGTCAGAATTGCAAGAAAAAATATATAATTGTGAGATATAAAGTCAGAATTGCAAGAAAAAATATATAATTGTGAGATATAAAGTCAGAATTGTGAGATTAAAGTCACAATGACCTTTTTTTATCCTGTGGCAGAACCAAGCGTCCATAACAATGAGACCAGCAACATGAATTATGAATCATGTTGACAGAATTGTGAGATATAAACTCGCAATTCTGACTTTTTTCTCGCAACTGCGAGTTTGTATCTCGCAATTCTGAGGAAAAAAAGTCAGAATTGCGAGTTATAAAGTCCAGTTCTGAGGAGAAAAAAAAGTTCCGATATGTTCTCAGAATTGCGAGTTTTATCTCACAATTCTGAGAAAAAATCTCAGTTTTTAAAAAATTTTAAATGATCAGTGGCAGAAATGGGCTTCAATAGATATTGTACAGTAAAACTATAAAAATCATTAATTGAAATAAAGCTGAAATGAAATATTAATATTAGATGAAACGCTTAAACTTCAAAAATGTAAACGTTAAAAAAATTATAAATGTTTAAAAGTACTAGTTAGTAAAACTGAAAAATAAATAGAAAAAATAAAGCTTAATAAAAATCTACCCCTCATTAATTAAAAATCCGAAATGAAATAAAATATAAATATTAGATGAAACACTTAAATTAAATTTTTTTTAATAAAAATGATACATTTTTAAAAGTAGTAAAATTAATAAAACTAAAACTGAAAAATTAATAAAACTTAAATAGAAATATTAAAAAACAAAAATGAATAAAAAATGACAAAAACATAAAATTACTGAAATTAAAATTCTAAAAATGAAAGATAATATAAATTTAACAAAAAATTAAAGCTAATTCAAAATATTAACAAATACTATAAATATATAAATACAAAAACAACACATATTACACTTTAATTAAACTACTAAAAATAATTTATTAATTAAAAAAGCCTAAATTAAATAAAATAGAAATAATAGATGAAACACTTAAACTTAAAAAATGCAAACTGAAAATTATGAATGTTTAAAAGTACCACAATTACTAAAACTAAAAGCTGAAAAATTATTAAAAAGCTAAATAGAAATGTATTAAACAATTTAATAAAAATGACAAAGGCACAACAAAATTACTAAAGTTCAAATTGTAAGAGATAAAAGCTAATATAAATGTAATATAAAAAATAAATTAAAGCTTAATAGAAATATTAAAAAATAAATAAAAAGGACAAAGAACATAACAAATTACTAAACTTAAAATTGTAAAATATAAAGGTTAATATAAATTTAATAAAATATAAAAATGAAAGCTATAATTAATACTAAAACAATACTGACTTCATGCATAAATAAAATAAAATCACTTAATTAAAAAGAGACTTAAAATGAAGAAAATGAATCCTACTTTCAGGACCATGAAGTTATGTTTGGTCATTATGATGTTTGATATTATGTATAATGATCTCTGTGGTGTGATCAGATCTCTCCCGTCCTGAGGGACTTTCTGGACTCGATGTTGACGTGTGATCCGCTGGAGCGAGCGAGCGCCGGAGATCTGCTCCAGCATCCCTTCATGCTGCAGGCCGCTTCTCCTCGCTGTCTGGTGCCGCTGGTGGAGCAGTACCGCAAACGCATGTCGCGATGCTGACCTTTAGCACTTTAGAGACTGTGAACCTTCCTGATCTACTGGAAAAACCCTGACGTTCCTCTGGAGAACCTCATAGAGGAGGACAGGAGCGATTCCCCCCAAAACCATCATTCTGTCAGCATTTATTCCTCTTATTCTAATGCATTTGCACAGAACCTTTGACATTATGTGTCGTGTGTAATAGAGACTGTGCTGATGGGTTTATTAAATACATCTGATGATCGTTCACAATGTATGGAAGCCTGTTTCTGCTCCAGGACAAGGAATTAAAAGGTAATTGTGACCTTATTTCTTGCAATTCTGAGGGGGAAAAAACGTTAACTTACAATTGCGAGACAAAAAAATTTTTAATTCTAAGAAAAGTAAAAATTGTGAGATATTAACTCAGAATTGTGAGAAAAAAAAAATAATTGTGAGATATAAACTCAGAAGTGGTGGTGAAAAGGTCAGAATCAGAAATGTGAGATACAAACAGAATTGCAAGATAAAAAGTCAGAATTGTGAGATGTAAACTCAGAATTGCAAGAAAAATGTAGAATTGCGAGATATAAAGTAAGAATTGTGAGGAAATAAAAACTGAATTGTGAAAGTCTAAGTTGTGAAAAAAATAGAATTGTAAGATATAAACTCAGAATTGCGAGAAAAAATAGAATTGTGAGATATAAACTCAGAATTGCAAAAAATTGGAATTGTGAGAAAAAATAGAATTGCGAGATATAAAGTCAGAATTGTGAGGAAATAAAAACTGAATTGTGAAAGTCTGAATTGTGAAAAAATAGAATTGTGAGATATAAAGTCAGAATTGCAAGAAAAAATATATAATTGTGAGATATAAAGTCAGAATTGTGAGATTAAAGTCACAATGACCTTTTTTTATCCTGTGGCAGAACCAAGCGTCCATAACAATGAGACCAGCAACATGAATTATGAATCATGTTGACTTTAAAATGTAACTTTTATTGCTGTACAGCTTTGGATAAAAGTGTCTGCTAAATGATGTTAAATGTTATAATGAGCGTGTCAATGAAACTGAACTTGAGCTCTTCTGTAATCCAGCAGGCTGTGGAGACACTCAATATCTATATTTTGTATTACAAGATGTTAAATGATTTTTATAATTCATAACGGTTTTTGCAAATGTCATAAATTGCATGTCAAATCTGTTCCTCATTTTTAAGCATTAAATTTACAAACTGTGTTTGGTCTGCTATATAAAGCATTGCTTGTATTGAATACATGGTTTAAACAAGCAAGAAGCAGCTTCTGAACCACAGGAAGCTGTTAAAGCACGTCTGATGATTGATGGCTGTTTAACAAGAGTCCTTATCATAATCATAATAATTTAGATGAAGCTCACATTCATGTAGATCATTTCAGAAATGTTGTCTTCTTCTGGCTGTTTTCATTCTGTAATTGCTATCTGATGGTTTTGACCACATACTGATTATATCAAGCATTGTGTAGTGTAAGGATAAAAGAAACTCAGGAAACTCAAGATACTTTGATCTCCTGAGAAACAGACAATACACTGGCACCTTCAAGACACCCCTCAGGGGGGTGGTGCAGGAAACGCCTCTCTCACATATGCATCAGTGCCTTTTCATCTGCTCCCTCCACTGGATTCACTCAGAATGGTCAATAGTAGAATGTTCTATATGAATGCAAATAAGATTTACAGTCATGTTTGGTTTCATTTGAATAGTGTCAGGGTGAGTGGTACAATGGTCTTAATCTTACTGGCGAGTTTTGTGATCGTGGAGCCCACGCATAGCGGCCGCCGTGAGGCATCCTAAGCGACATAGATTCCTAATGAACGAGTAAATATAAGTAAAGAGTTAACTAGAATAATCAAATGTCAGAATAATTAGAGACCGACAAACAACCAATTTGCTTTTCAACCAAAATTCAAGGTAATACTAAAATGGAGTCAGATGAGATAATAAAATGGAGTCAGATTTCAGTTAAACCTAAATTGAATAACTCTGCGCGCTGAAAAGACCGAACACGCAAGAGACCTTCATCCGCCACTGAATACCTTCCTTGGGCCATGTGTGCGGACCTTACAGTAGCATGAACACTTCTGTCAGCTCATCTGATAAACTCTTCATTTACTGATGTAGCATTTCAATACTTATGAGATGACTTATCTGATGAGAAATACTGACAAATACTTCAAGTGTTTCTACTCAACCTCAAGTTCGAAAACTAAAACTGAAAAATAAACCTTAAAGGGTTAGTTCACCCAAAAATGAAAATTAGCCCATAAATTACTCACCCTCAAGTCATCCTAGGTGTATACGACATCCGCCCGGAACTGCTTCCAGTGTACAACAGTGAGAGCAAGCTACATTACACTACAGTAAAATTTTATTTAATTTTTTGATGTTTTTGAGTCTCTTCTGCTCATCAAGGCTGCATTTATTGAAACAAAAACAGTGAAATATTATTACAATTTAAAATGGCTGTTTTCTATGTGAATATCTGTTAAAAGGTCATTTATTTCTGTGATCAAAGCTGAATTTTCAGCATCATTACTCCAGTCTTCAGAAATCATTCTAATATGCTAATTTGCTGAAAGATTTCTGATTATGTGGAAAACAGTTTAATATTTTTGTGAAAACAACTTTATTTTTTCAGGATTCTTTGATGAATAGGAGGTTCAAAAGAACAGCATTTAATTGAAGTAGAAATCTGTTGTAAACTTATAAATGTCTTCACTGCCACTTTACTGCTTCTTTGCTGAATAAAAATATAGTTATAAAAGGTTATAAAATATAGTTACTTTTGATCAATTTAATGCGCCCTTACTAATAAAAAATAGGGAAAAAAATGAAAAGAAAAAACAAAACCTTATATAGCTTATATGAACATATTGCAGTACAAAAGTTGAGACCACACACACACACAAAAAAACTTTTTTTGCATTCCACTCTAACCATTTTTTTCCATTACAAATATATTATTAGCATAACAATTTGACCCAAAAAAAAAAAAAAAAAAAAATTGGTCAGGTTTTTGGGTTC